TGTCTACTCATTATGCTAAATAAAATTCCCTGAGTTTACGAGGTTTTTCTAGGACTACAACGGAAAATTTCCATGTTTGAATCCTCTTGATACTCTAGATATCTCTCACAAGATATCTTTAGGATTATCTCAAGAATTTTCTCAGAATCATCTCAAATTGTATTACCTAGGAATTCCCAAATAATTCTTCTGAAAAAAACTCTCCTCAGTATTTATTACAATCTCCTGTAATTCCTATGGAATTATCTTTGGAATTCTATGTTAATTCCACTCATAATTCTCTAAGGGCAGTCCTGTAAATAATAGGAAATGCTCCTCAGAATTCCCTAGAAAATATTCTTTGATTTATCTTAAAATGATTACAGCAATAGCCTTGAAACTCTCCTAAGTATTCCTTTGAAATTTACCTCCTTGGAATTTCTTTGGAATTCTTCTTATAATTCCTTTGAAATCTTCCTGAAATTGTTCATTTAATTATTTTTAGACTTCCCTTTGGATTCTCCTTCTTCTCTGGTGAATCTACTCACAAGTACCTTGGGGTTATCCTTACAAATCCCTTAGGCAGAACTCTCTTGGAATTCTCGTTGGAATGACCTTGGAATCCTCGTTAGAATTGTGATGATAATTTCATTTGAATCCTACTCAGGATTCCCTTGCGATACTCAGGATTATACTCAGAATTGCCTTGCAATTTTCCTAATGTTTCACCTTCATTTCAGCTGGAGTTTAACAGAATCCTCAGAATCCTCAGATTTCACTGCAAGTTTTCCTAACAATTCTTCCCTTGGAATTCTCCTCTCAATTTCCTTGAAATTATCCCTAGGGAACATGCATTAAGTACGTAACGCGAAATTTATGGAAAATCAACTCCCCCATTTTGTCACGTTTTTCCTATACCTAATGCATTGCTTGTCACACATGTGTAAACCTCCTTCCCCCCTTAGAGCGTGACTTAATAGATACTCCCCTAGAGTTCCTTGAAAATTCTCATCAAATTCATATATTAAAGTTCATAAGCTGAGAAAATTTTGTAAGGCTCTTATTTGTTTTTAATTTCGTTGCTTGGAAAACATTCAAAGGCCGACGTCTTTAAAATATTCTATTATAATTTTTAAGAATTTAATAATGCTTGAGATACGATAATCTTAAAATTCCCTTATGATTCCCGGTTTTCCAGGCTTTTCAATGTAGTAGACACCCTGTGGTTGAATATCCCATCGCCGTTTAAGAGTGTCCAAATTCAGCTGTCTACATCCAGCGGTCAGCATAAGGAGGAAGATTTTGTCAGTAACGCCAGGGTAAATTCCTCAAAGCAATTCTAATAAATCTACGCTGAACTCTTTCGAACATCAAATTCCTCACTGGTGGAAAAGGAAGCGTTTTCCAGAATTGTCCGCCCAAGTGAGCAGTAAAAAGCTTTGAAGCAGTACGGATCCGAAAAATCTCTTGACATGTTGGAGATGAGTCCCAATTGACGGTTTAGCGATCAATGCAGAACGGTGAAGGTTGAACGTTAGTTTTTTTCAAGGAACTTTACAATTTGCCTTTAAAATTTGTCGAACCTCTTAACGGAATCCCTTTATGAAGAGCTTTGAGTGTGTTGGTTTATTTCCTTCAAATTCCGTTATAATTGCTAATCTTTTGACAGTGCCAAGTACTCAACACCACTGACGAATCCATCTTTTATCTACGAGTTAAATACACAAATGTCACAATTGACCTAAACAGGTACCTAAATTTAGTCTCCATGTAGTAGCATGCTAAAGAGTCTCGAGTATCCGTTTCCTTGATCTCTATTAAGCAATGTGGATGGATTATGTTTAAATATTTCTAAACTTTCTGCTACATACACTCAGCAAGATATTTATGTTATCCTTTGTCAAATTATGTTCTGAAACCATGGATTTGAATTCACAATGAAGTCCATTATCCATCTCTTTGTTAGCCTTTTTCACCTCTGCGATGTGTTCCTTAAACCTTGTTTCCAAAGTCCTTTTCGTCTGCCCAATGTAGATTTTATTGCAATCTGGACAAGAGATTTTGTAGACTCCGGCTTTCCCTAAGACATTTATTGAATCTTTTGTTGATCCTAACAGTGACTTCAGCTGATTTGTCCTGCTGCTGAATACTAAATCTAGGCCAAAACTTCTAAACTTCGAAATCAATGGTTTGGTTATGTTTTTGTCGAAATTCACCGCTACCAGTTTTAAACCCTCCGTTACTGTTGTAAGAGTTGTCGAAATACGCCTAAAATGACCCCTTGTTCTTTTATCGATTACAGCTTGTATTTTTTTTCTTGATACCCATTAAGTCTAGCGATTTCAAAAATGTTAGCTATTTCCTTTGATTTGCCTGTATCGCTAAGAGGAAGAGTTTGCATCCTGTGAACCATGTGATGAAAAGGGGCCATTTTGTGTTGATGGGAATGGTTTGGAGTGCTTGGTATTACCACAGACAAACAGACATAACAAATTGAATATTTCTCTTTGTAAAACATCGTCGCTAAAACATTACCGCCATCTGTTGAGTACACTGTGGTGGGTAGTATGCTGAACAGATGGCGGTAGTGAGTAAACGTCAAACGCAAGGGAATTGACTATGCGCGCCACAGGTGGCAGTACTACCAACTGAGATACTTTTAAATTGGCCGTTAAATGCTTGTTCGATGAACAACTTGTGAGTGTTATGTCTGTTTGTCTGTGGTATTACTCTCTTTGTGTTTGTTGGTTTCCTATAGATTTCGAAATTGAACGAAGACGTTTCCCTGATGAGAAGATCTAAGAAGGGGAGTTTGCCGTCTCTCTCTCTTCTTCGTGGATGAACGAGTAGCAATGAAAAGAACGAGTAATCTCTGGTTGTAAATTAACTTTTAGTTTCAAGAATCTTCGATTCGCAACAATTATGCCAAATGACCTTTATGCCAAATGTCTATTATGCCAAATGTCCTTATGCTAAACGTCGTTATACCAAAAGTACCAGACTCCAAAACAACACGTCACTCGTTGATCAAGATACAATATCTAAATCTTGAATTCTTTGCTAAAAATACTAAACTGTTATTAAACAATAATGCAACGGCTATTATCCGATTACTGAGCTTTTTTGAAAACTTAGTAAAAAAATTACAGATCCCAGTAAAATAATCTCTGTGTGTATGATTAAGCGATCGTAACAGCATACCCTAATAGGTGAATCAATGCCTTTGCATTCCCATTCCTCTCCTGGCGGTGCTTTGCAGGGTAAAGCTCTGCTCCTTCTGACATAAAATAAACATTCTCCTGGGGTGCCAGGCTCCGTGAAAGAGTCTTCTCCAAAGCAGAGGCAAGTGTCGCACTACACTACACTATGCGACTTTCTGCGACGAGAAACACTTGTAATATTTGTGATTCCAAGTTGTAGCTGATACCAAAGTCGAAAAGCAATATTAGATCTCCTTTTTCTTGCTGGTTGTTCAATCCTCGACGATGTAAGTAGGGGATGAGTGCAAGCGTGCGATAGCTTCACTTGAAGAGAGGGACGACGGATATATTAATTTGTAATAGTAGGAACTGTTGTCCAGTTGAGCTACTGCTGATTGGATGGCAACAGGGAAGAATTTTAGTAACCTGACTTTTCTTGTTAATAGTATTTCGAAATATTCTGAATAAATCAATCGCAAATGTGGTTCATTTACATTTCTGATGAAGCATTCATCGTAGTAAGTCATCCCACACCCATGTCGTGTCCCATCTTACATACTAAACCTTTCTCCACAATCTTATTTCAATGTTGATGCAGGACCAGATTTCGGCATTATTTGTAAAGAGCGGCACACATCAACATAGCCTGCCATACATTATGTATGACCCGAGCCATACATATGGAAAATATGTTACGATATGAATGGCGTAGAAAATAGAAAATGACATTTCACATTATTGGTGGCAGGTTGCAACGTGATGCCAGCAATGTTGGAATTATAGGTCTGAAGTTTTGCAACGCCTTCATGTTTTCAAGCATTTGTATGGCGATTTTCCAATAAACCCACTCAATCCGAGCGAACCCTGACACATCTTTATTTTTTAAAACATATGTATCTTATCTGGTAATTGATTGTAGGAAATTGACTGAGCTACAACTTTGCTGAAGCTACTTCTTTAATTGGACGCCAACAACACAAGTTTGGGTCCGACAATGATGACAATGATAATGGTATGATCAATCAACAACCGCTTTCCGGATAACACTGCATCATGCGACACTACGACATAGCATCATGGAACGCTAAAGTGATGAGTCTTGACAATGTAACTAATAGTAATCATGCTTAATTAAAATAGTTACAGTACAGCAAGTTTGACAATTTTATCATAAATTCAATACCCAATTGCATAAAAAATAATCACCTAACATTTTCCCAAATCGACGCCACGGAAAGCAGTCAACAAGTTGCAATGGTTTCTTCAATCCTCGTAAAGCATTTTCCCTCCCACATAGGTTGTAAAATCCTAGTTGTTATTTTTATAATATAGGTAAGCAAATGAATTATTCGCTAAACGGCCAATAGGCTGTTTCATTACGCTAATGAATAAACCAATACCTACTTATTTGTTTAAGGGGACATCCACTACGTATGCCACGCTTTAAAGGGATGGTGGTCGACATGTCTGTGACAAACAATGTATTAGCTGTAGGTAATAACGTGACAAAAAGGGACAGATGTGGGTTAGTTTATCTTTAATGTAGTGTGACATACTTAATGGATGCCCCCACCAAGGTCTATTCCTGAAAAACCAGAAAAAACACATCCATATAGGTAGGTAAACAGAACAGTGATCCATCTTAGTTTAAAGGGGCAGAAAACAACGAAAGCCGAGTGGAAAAATGTAAATAAGCCGAGAAATAGTCGAATTTTGACACGCAAATATATAGTTTACTGAACGAAACCAAAAGTACACCAACATCTAGATTCTATCAACTAGCCAAAAAGAGAAGAAAAATTCATATCCAAAGACACATACCTCGATACCGACGATATTGAGTGGGACTTTCTCTCTCCATGGATCCACCGAGTTGGCTAATGGCATTCTTGACTGCTTGGACGCTCTAATGTTATTGAGGCTGGTGGGACGCTGGTGGCAAGGCTGGACGGAAATGATCTTCTCCAGCGCTGTTATTCATTGAACGGGCACCCTCCGAAAACACTAAATCACACAATAACGGGAAGTACAACCTTCTCCAAGAGGGGAAAATTACTTCCCTCAGCACACACTTTTGTTGCAATTCGCGTATCGATGTTTCTTTTTTCTTTACTGCAACCTTCACCGCAGATTCCAGACACGCCAAGGATTTTCACTGCCCATGCACTTGAAACCAGCTGCAAAATTGCCTGAAAACTCCACCAACAACAACAAAAATCCAACACCAGTACGTCACTAATATGCGCTTCTTCCTCGAACCAGCGACGGCGACTATAGATAACACCCCGCGATATTCAACAAACAACACCGTGTGCTAATTGGTAATTAAAATATTAGCTTCTTCCTTCGCTCGGTCGCTCCACCTAGTGCTACCACACCTCCAACAATGTATCAAAGCACAACCGCGATTCGACTTTGTCCCCGGATTCTTCGTCCGTGTAATGGAAAAAATGCAGCACTTTTCTATCCTTCTGGACTGTCTGGTGGTTCACCGATGATTGTGCGAGCGAACAAAACTTTTCGCCTGCTCGACAGTGCCTAGATAGAAGCCTGCCTGATGATTCCCCGCGTACCGCACCCTAAACTGAGTCCGATGAACAGCACACAGCACAGAATAGTGATACATTCATCCACACTAGCACCAGCACCAGCACCAGCACCAACGAATCCGTCCGGTTCCTATGCGCGTGTATAACCGGAGCCCTCGCTGCCCGTCTTCGTCACTTCATTGTGTCACTCTGCGATTCCACTCCAACCCACTTGGACGCCCCCGTGATCCCAAAAGGTCGTTTGTTTTCACCAAGGTTTTGTTTTCACTGCAGAGCAACAACAACATTATGTCATCTACTCGTTTTTTGACATGAGTCTGACGGCCAAATATCTCAGACGCTAGCACGGCCGATGAGATCAACTCAAAATTAAATGTTTTTTTTTTACTAAAAAAAATGTAGGTTATACTTAAAACGAATTTCCTCTGAGAATGAGTCAGCTTTACTCATTCACATGAAGAAATTTCGAAAAGCGAGGTCAGAATAACTATAGTCACTATATTCATAGTCTGGCGGATAGAATCTCGGGAACCAATTGAGCTGTCAAATAGCTTAATCAATCGAGCAAATCACGACCAACAACAGAAAAGAGCACATTAGCTATTGCGAACAAAATTTCGGAAACCGTTTTCTCGTGACTCAAGGCACACCTACACAAACTAACACCATCTTTAGATTGTGGATAATTTTCCCTATCCGGTAATGCTGGTAATTTACCTCGTAACTCGCCTCGTAGTTTACCTTCGATTGGCGAGTAATCAACGTATTTTTTTATAAAAGTTGATACCTAATTGGGTTGTTTAGAAGTATGGGAAGGTCCATTAATTATGTCACGCAAATTTGGCCTATTTTCAACCCCCTCCCCCTTTGTTACATTTTTTGTATGGACCTTAAATTTTTTTGTATGACTAGTCACAGTTTCCAAAACCCCCCTCCCCCTCTAAGTGTGACATAATTAATAGACGATCCCTATTGAGGTAAATACATATTCGTTATCTGATGCATTCAAAATGGAACCGAAATCCAAAATTTCTTCAATTTTGGTACACTGGAACAATTTTAAATAAGTACGATTAAAGTCTGGAACGCGCAAAAATTGGTCAACTTCAAGTTGATGTATTTCTGTTAAAAATGTATAAAAAAAACCATGAAATGCTGCATTTAGAAGTTGAGTGTATATACAATGGTTGATTGTATGACGTCCAAGCAAGAGGAGCAGCGTGTCAAAATTTTGCAGCAAGAGAATCCGACGTTCTCACACAGAAAAAAAGTTACATCCAAACTGCTGCAACCAGGTCAATCCATCGGTTGTGTAATATAACGTTGTACGATGTACATCGATTTTGCGAACAAAATTACATCCATTGATGTAATATTGTATCTGCTTTTTGCTATTACATCATTATTTGCAATTTTTCAGTGTAGCACATGGCAACACCACTAGTACTGGATTGAACCACATGGCAACACAACTACTGGATTGAACTAGCATTTTCACCAAATGTACTAGAATGTTTTGGTTGAATCTCTTTCACTCTACTCAAAACTGAAATGCATAAAAAAATGACGAAATGATACGCACTCTTTGCACACTGTCAAAGAATCATTGTACACAAAATCAACTTTGTGCAATACCAAAACAAAAATACTATCCCATCTGGTGGATGATGGCACAAGCTTCCAAGAAAATTCTATTACAGTGAACCACATCATTTAAATGGATTTCTTCGCCAGTTAGTCGTATGTCACTTCGTTTGTGGTAGTAGTGTTGCCATGTGGCACAATCCAGTAGTAGTGGTGTTGCCATGTGGTTCACTGAAAAATTGCAATAGACTTCACTGACGTTTGTGAATTGCACAAGTATTAGTGCAGAACTTTGGGTAAATTCAAAGGTTTTCTTGCACTAATACTTATAATTTACCCCGAGTTCCGCACTAAATTTGAGCATTTTACAAACGTCAGGGAAGTCTATAGCAGGTTAGTCACCAAAGTTTTCGAGCCGCTCCGTCTGTCTGTTTGTGCTAATACTAAAGGCCGGCGCACAATGGATAAGTTTTCAGGATTTTTGACAGTTATCTGTCAAACAACCCGGAAACTTCTAGATAGAGCTGGAATTAGGGCGTAACAGCTTTTGTAAACAATTTCTAGGCACGTCCACGCAGACCAACCTAACCATCGGATCGGGGAAGTCTTTCCCTACCGGATGAGAATGTTGGTTTGCGTGGGCGAGCCATGAATTTCTAGAAATCATCAAGAGAAATCATTGTTTACAAAAGCTGTTAGGCCCTAATTCCAGCTCTATCTAGACTTATGCATTGTGCGCCAGCCTTAACGGTGGTAGAGAACTCTATCTCGATGAACATTTCAAATGGTCGTATCTGCTTTGATCGATTCTCTTAATTGACTTTCTCTTTTCATAACCACTGCACGGCGAATGAGAACGACCCAAATTTGAGTTTAGTTCACTCATAATCGCCAAAAGTGCAGGAACTCAGCGATGAGTAAATTTGTCTCATAGTTTCCTGTGGAAAACCTAAAAAATCTGCCGAAAAATGAGAAAATTGACGAAAATTTTATTCAGTCTCGGAGTAGTGCCAATAGACTGTTTTTCCCTGGAAAATCCTGGAAAAACCTGGGAAAACATGAGGCAAATTTACTCATCGCACAGAGGAGTAACTGGGACAAAAACCTGGCCAAAATAAGAAAACAAGATTTCTCATGCTTCTTTATTTTTTTTTTATATATATTTCAATATATGCAGCATAAAGTGGTTACGGAATAAAAACATTACATTTTGTTTACAAATTTTGAGACGTGTTCAAAAACTGAAGAAATTCGAAGCTTCTTGTTTTCCAAAAAGTAACCATGTAATAATTATGCCTACCAGATATAAACAATTTGATCAAGAGACAAGTGTTATAATAAAGTTCACGTTATTATGAACACATTGGCATTGGAATCTCGTCCGGATTGGCGATTGCGAGCCATTTGAAAATGGCATGTTTTGCATCATTTCGTGGCAAAATTTTATCCCTTTATAAGGTCATACTTCCAGAAAACTTCCGTAACACAACGGTTTTCTGCAGATACCTATGAATAACTTACCGAGTACTACCATAGAGGTAACTCTAAGACCACTGGGTCCCGAAGAAAATCATTATTATTTTTGGCTCACTTAGTACCAGAACAACGGTCCCAAGCAGTCCCAAGCTATTTCACTCACCCCTGCATGTTCTGCACGAATCCACACACCCCTGATGTTATCTGTCAAACTTTCATAGCGAATCAAAACAAACATAGTGTAGTAATAGAATTTCAACTAGAATAGGGTACGTTAATCGTTTGCTTGGGACCAATAGGCTACTAAAGTGGTGAGCCAATTTAAAATCGTTAGTTTCGTATTGATTGTTGGTACTACTTCTGTCCTTCTTTAATCTATTACATCAATTGTGGTACTAAATTAAAATTACACTTCAGTAAACTACTCCCGGTTTGATACCCATGACCAGCATAATTTTACTAATGTTGCTAAGTTTTTAAATCTAGTACCTCAATTGATGTATTAGCATAAAGGAGTGTAACGCTAGAAAAACCATGTGTCATTAGTTTATTTTTATAATTTGTGTGTGTAGCAAGAGTAAGGGTTCTTTCCCTAATAAAAAATTACCATAAACGAACGATAACCCTAAACATTGAACTATTCCACAAATGGTTTGGATGATACCTTAAACACGTCGTTAAGCAAATTAACCATAATATTTTTATTAGGGTTGCCTTGTAATTCAATGTTTATCACAGACCGTTTACCCCATAAAGTATTTCACTTTTCAGGTAGATACTGTAAATTTTGAAAATTAGCGAGTGCCATTTGGTTGTAATACTCTCTCATACACACACACACACACACACACATTTACCCATTCGATTTTACATACACATCTGAGTACTGCGAACTAACTCAAAATGCTTGTCATCTGGGAGCCGAGTCAAACTGTCAAACGGGAGCCAAACATACAAAAGAGCTCAGAAGTCACGTAGGTAGTTACTGTTTGAACCACAAGTAAAGGTGTTGCCACCTACTGAAAACAAATTAAAAATTATAATTATGAAACTGTCGAAACATCAACCTTAGTAGGCGGATAATGTAAATCATTGAGCGTGATGCTCGAAAAAGTGTTTTTATTTGATATTAATAATGCCAAAACTGGGTTGCTGAAACAAGAATGTAATCAAACTTTATAAGAGTCATGTGAGCTTTGTGGGTAGGTGCACTCCCATCACATGTATACGTTATTTCTGGAGCAGAGGAGGAGGAGCCAAGAGTTCATTTGACAGCATATATATACAATTTTGTGAGCTGTTTCAGCAAAACAATTTGAAACTTCGGAAGATTTTCAAGATGTTTTCTAGCTCACTTGAAAAATAAAATCGGCTGAGTTCGCAGTACTCAGGAAAGAATCGAACATCGCAGTTAATACCATTGACAGACATATAAAGCAGTACCAACAATCAATACGAAACTAACGATTATAAATTGGCTCACTACTTGACTAGCCTATTGATCCCAAGCAAACGGTTAACGTATCCCATTCTAGTCGAAATTCTAGTACTACGCAATGTTTGTTTTGATTCGCTATGAAAGTTTGACAGATAAAATGAGGGGTTAGTGGATTTTCCTATGTTTCGAGGGGTTGGAACCGAAGATAGTACCAGAGCTGAGCCAAAAAGTTGAGCTCGTTTCTTCGGGACCTTCTGGTCTTAGAGTTACCTCTATGGTTGTACTCCTTTAATAAAGTACCTCAAAAGGTACAATTTGAGGTACTAGCTTAAAGAAGTACAACGGTAGTACAACAGTGTACTTTGTATGTCTGTACAAGGTATAAGCATAGAGGTAACTCTAAGACTAGTAGGTCCCGAAGAAACGTGCTCAACTTTTTGGCTCAGCTCTGGTACTATCTTCGGTCCCAAGCTAATCGATTCACCCCTCGAAACTTAGGAAAATCCACTAACCCCTCATTTTATCTGTCAAACTTTCATAGCGAATCAAAACAAACATAGTGTAGTAATAGAATTTTGACTAGAATGGGGTACGTAATCGATTTGCTTGGGACCAATAGGCTAGTCAAGTAGTGAGCCAATTTAAAATCGTTAGTTTTGTATTGATTGTTGGTATAAGCCCCTAAACCGAGGGGGTGACACATCTAAATCTCAATTCTAGATGCTCAAAAATCTTACACCAGCAAATCAATCTTGGAAAAATCTTCTTTTATCGCTCGCATCTGCGTGCATCGCGTATCATCTTTTTGCAGGAAATCTTCAGAATCGTTATCAATCTTCTTTCTATCTACTTTTTTTTTCTTTGATTTATTTTCCGTCGATCTTATTTTCTGTGCTGAGCACGAATGCTACCGACGCTAGGGAGACAGCTCCCACACCTGGACCCTACCTATCGACTCATCAACTCATGAACTTTCTTTCTATCATCGTGTGTACAGCTAGCCACAGCAAAACAATCTTTCCTACATCATAGATAGAGTCATCCCCCTCGCCCTAAACGCTAGGCATGTGCATTGCGCTGTTTGCTTCAAGTTTAATTATCATTGAAAATATGTAACATAGCGGCATATGTCTTGCTGTGTACGCTTTTTTAAAACTACAAATGAGAATTTGGTACAATTGATTGAGAAAAAAAAATGCACATTTCCATTTGGAGTCATGAGTCGGCATTATGTAAATAATAAAACAAGGTTCTTAGTTTTGATATTAGGAAGTTCTAAATTTTGTGGGGCCACTAAAGCACCATAATACACTATGCCAAAGAAAGTCGAGAACCTTTTCAACACTAAAGATGTTTTTTAGACCGGACTGGGAATGGAAACCGCCGCCTCCCGTCTTGGTGATACCATGCCTTAGCTGACCAGGCTAACCCGTTTTTCAAAAATGTCACGATAAAGACGAAGTAGCGCGAAACCCCATGGACTTCTTTCACGAGACATACGTTGGAAAGTATTAAATATTTTTCATTTATGAAACACTAATTCTTATATAACTTAACGTAAGTTTCGTCACACAGTGAACCATATCCCACCTTTTTCGGTAGCAAAAGGAAACCATAATGCGGCCATCATTTGGATTAGAATCCCACTCATACTCACTCATCGCTATCTACTTCCATTCCACTTCTATCGCCACCCACATCCATATCGTCGTCGTTTGCCTGCTCAGAGACTTCACCTGCCGAACTTGCTGACTTACGCTTCTTTTCAGCACGCGCTGCTTTCTTTTCCTCGGGGGTCTTTTTGAGACCCTTCATCTTTCTCGTTTGAATTGCATTGATATCCTGTTTGCCAACATGCACCCTTCCGTGCACGTTACCCAGCTCGTCGCGGGAGACGTTCTTTCGTTTGGCAACCTTCAGGATCGCCGGTTGCTTCATAGCCGTTTTGTACAGATCATCCGAAGCTATCTTCGTCCGCCTGACCGTCAAATCCATTGACGGTCCCATTTCCGACAGCTCAATGCGAGGCGTTCTCTGACCACTTTTCTTCAACTGAACTCTGTAGGAACGCATCAGGATTGTCAAATCTTCTGTGATCGTGAAACTAATAACATGCTCAATGCCTTGTAATCGCATGGTATCAACGTTGTCAATTCGGAACATATCCAGCAAAAGACTACGAAGGCGTCGCAATTCCTCTGTTAGTTTCCACTTGTATCCATTGAATACGATTACAGGCTTCACAAAGGCTGAAATCTTCTCGGTTTTGAAATCCTGCAGACCTTTGTAGTTCGCAATGCCAAGCTCCATCATATCCAGTACCTGCTCATCATAAATACGGCCCACTATCAGATTGTTTGGGCGCTTCTTTGATGATGATCCAAACATGAACAGGTGACAGTCGTTCGATTTAGCCAATCTAGAAATAACACACATTATATTTCGATAACCCCTGGATATCAAAGTATGTATACTCTTACTGTTCCAGCGGTGTCGCATCCTCAAACAGAGTAACGTCGTTGTTCCTCCTCATCAACCTAACCAGTGGCTTCTTTAGCAGATTAAAGTCCTTTAGTGCCTGGCGGATTTCGTTGGAACATTTGCGACCTTCCATAATCAGGGTTTTCTTGGCATTCTCAATCGTTTTCGGCTCACGTGCATCCAGAAAGCGCTTGCCACGGCGTGTGGCTGGTTTTCTATAAACAATCAAACACAAATAATAATTCTCCATCCACACATTTTCAACTAACAGGACATACTTTATTCTATCCGAAGACATTGTTTGCGTCGGTAACTGATGAAAATAGTGCAGAATTTGCGAAAACTACAATAGATTATGTCGAAACCAAAAACTAGAACCGACCAAAACACAAAACACGTTGCTTCGAATGCTTTCTCGCGAAGAGAGGATTATCATCTGGCTAACGAGCCTGTCAGCGGTGGTAATGACAGACGTGATTTTAGACTTGAGCAGAGACGCACTAACTGATTATTGCCAACCTTTAGGTGACGAAATAAAATGCTTCACCGCTCGGTCGAGGTGTAACCGTCGTGAAATATTTCGACCTCTATCGAAGGTGACGACAGAGCTGCCAGATATGCCGGTTTATTGATTTTCAAACACGATTTATCGACAAACCCGCATAAAAAATAACCATAAGAAGCGCCTAACAACCAATTAGGTTGTTAAGGGGTAATGAAGTAAATACATATGCGTCATCTGCATTAAAAAACTACAAGGGACAAACCTATCCAGTATTTTACGATCGCTTGGCCGCCACAATCTGGCTGAGTTTCTGACGGAACCGAATTTTATTCATCATAAATATAAAATATAAAATAAAAATATAAATGTTTATTCTATAAACACAAACATATGAATAATTCAAAATAAATTAAAACCATGTTTGCAACAAATATATATATGTTTGAATTAAAGTCATAAGCATGTTTATTTCAACAATATAGAATTTGGGTAAACGATTTTTAGCGTGCCCTGCCTTTTTTTCCTTCTTGTTCACATTCGGAAAAAAAAATTGTCCCAGCTTTGCCGATCAACTGAAAACGGCCCGCAACAAAACCGAAGTCATGGATCCGGAAACCCACCTAGGTAAGTGTCTTAACAAAGTTCCAGATCGATAAAACCAGAGGAACCCCACAGTATCGACGTCACTCTGTCGTTTCTGATGCCGATTCCTGTATCATCCTCCTCCACAACTGACGTCGGAAGAAAAGCGAAAATCCTAAATGGATTTTGAATCTATCCCGGATCCTCCAACATCGTACGTAGAAATAGGCCGGTATGTGGACCAGCGTCAAACGCTGTCCAGACTGGAGAGTTATAACACAGAAACCACCATCAAGATAGCGCTATAACATGTTATAACTCTGTAGTCTGAACGTACTATAATTGTAATTGTTCAGTGCATAGGCTGTGCCTTCCGCTAAGAAGACTTATCTAGGGACCAACCCCCTAGTCTATACACCTACTGTCCTTCCCGTTGCACTCGTCAGCTCGTGCGATACTCTAGACACACATGGGTGGTCGTATCCGGGTCCTCCCCTGGGTAGGCTCGTGTCCGTCCAGGTTCTGGTACATTAACTTATCTATATGCATGGTAATTATACTTTTAAAACTCACCTTTTGATTATAATGTCGAAAATGCTGAAACTAAATAAAGGTTAGCGATCCATATAAGGTGTGTGCTGCGACGGAGTAGTAATTGAAGGAAATGAGGTTCTGATGTGAAGTATAGGTAATTCTAAAATAGGTAAATCAATTAATCATTAGCTGCTAACAGTTACTAATAAATGGGTACGATAAATCACTCATCAATGAGTATTGCCACTCCCACTGAAAAATGGGCAAAACCTTAATCATAAATGGATATTCGATTCCTACCGTGTATTTAAAGTAAAGTTAGGATGTTATCAAGCAAGCACACACCTTTTACGATTCTTATCCTACTTACGGTTTCCTGCACATACGACTTTTCCTAGATACAAGCTTCGTCCAGTATACATTGGCTGTCTCCAACCGGCATGATCCTTTCTGTATGCTTCCTCTTGCCGGTGCAAGTTTAATTCTTCTTTTCTTGTTCGAATTTTCTTTTTCTCCTATTGATCTTCTGGTCGTGTTCCCATTTGTCCTCAGGCAGTTAATATTAGTACATGATAGGAAGAAAGAAAGAAATAGAACAAGTTAAGTGTGAGCCGCATGCATTGGTTACTTATTTGGGTCATGGTGTTGTCTTCCCTATTTATTTGCCTCTATTCGCTCTCATATCGCAACGTTTAACTCTGGATCAACAATAGAAAAGGGCCCATCAGCATTCGTAAACAAACCGATCCAAAGCCCCCCACTCACAAACCGAAGGCCACCCACGCAAACCAACACCATCATCGGATAGGGAAAACTTCCACCTACACGAAGATGGTGTTGGCCTGCGTGAGCAGCCCCCGATCTGTGAGGAATGGGCTTTGGACGGTTTGCCCACAAAAACCGATGGGCCCCCCTCCATTGTTGATCCAGAACTCACCCCCTTCCCTCACACTATTATGGTCGGAAAAGAGAACCCATATTTAGGAATCTATCGCGAACTGCGATGCAGAAGATATTAATAGCAAACTAATCTGGAACTGGTCTAAATTGGTCTGCATTTAAAAAACCTGAACACCCCTCATTTTGAAGGTGTGTGTGTGTAGAATGTTGCTCCTATTTTGATTTTGGAATTCACTCTTCAGTTGTCAAAATGCCGTCCAAGCAAGAAGAGCAGCGTATCAAAATTTTGCTCGCGCATCGCGAAAATCCGAGCTACTCGCACGCAAAGTTGGCAAAATCGCTAAAAGTTGCCAAATCAACCGTTACAAATGTAATTAAAGTGTTTGGGGAACGTTTGTCGACAGCCAGGAAGTCTGGATCGGTGGGAAATCGAAAACCGGAAGCCGCTGAGACGACAAAGAGAGTTGCCGGTAGTTTCAAGCGAAACCCTAACCTCTCTCTCCGAGATGCCGCAAATAAGCTGGGTGTATCGTCTACAACCGTGCATCGAGCCAAAAAACGAGCCGGACTATCGACTCCAAATCGCGATGATAAACAAAATACGACGGCCAAAGCGCGATCCCGGAGGCTGTACACGACGATGCTGACGAAGTTTGACTGCATGGTAATGGACGACGAAACCTACGTCAAAGCCGACTACAAGCAGCTTCCGGGACAGGAGTTTTATACGGCAAAAGGAAGGGGAAAGGTAGCAGATGTTTTCAAGCACATGAAACTGTCAAAGTTCGCAAAGAAATATCTGGTTTGGCAAGCCATCTGTACCTGTGGCTTGAAAAGCAGCATTTTCATAGCTTCCGGGACTGTCAACCAAGAAATTTACGTGAAAGAGTGTTTGAATAAACGTCTGCTGCCTTTCCTGAAGAAACACGGTTGTTCCGTACTGTTTTGGCCGGATTTGGCATCTTGCCATTACGGTAAAAAGGCCATGGAGTGGTACGCCGCCAACAACGTGCAGGTGGTTCCCAAGGACAAGAACCCTCCCAACACGCCAGAGCTCCGCCCAATTGAGAAATACTGGGCTATTGTCAAGCGGAACCTAAAGAAGACCAAAAAAACTGCTAAGGGCGAGCAGCAGTTCAAGGCAAACTGGCTTTCTGCGGCGAAGAAGGTGGACAACCCGCATAAGCGCGAACCATAAATTGACCTTACCGATAATGGTTATAAATTGTTTATAATCCCTGCTAAACTTCAACTGAAATGGTTATGGAACTTTACATGAACGTTTAATGATAAAGTTTTAACCTTTAGTATTATAGTTTTTTGGAAGTGGACCTTACAAATAATGGGTTGTTAAGAACCATTACCATTCAAAATTCTTGTTTTCTCCATACATTTTCGGAAAGAAAACTATACTAAAACCTTTTAACTTATGGTTTGAGAACATTAATGGTAATGGTTATGGTAACCAGTAAGGTCCATGAATGGTTTTGTAACATCGATCAACTTTATGTGGAATATATCGTGAATTGGTAATCAGTAATTTACAGGCAACCAATTCGCGATATATTCCACATAAAGTTGATCGATGTTACAAAACCATTCATGGACCTTACTGGTTACCATAACCATTACCATTAATGTTCTCAAACCATAAGTTAAAAGGTTTTAGTATAGTTTTCTTTCCGAAAATGTATGGAGAAAACAAGAATTTTGAATGGTAATGGTTCTTAACAACCCATTATTTGTAAGGTCCACTTCCAAAAAACTATAATACTTAAGGTTAAAACTTTATCATTAAACGTTCATGTAAAGTTCCATAACCATTTCAGTTGAAGTTTAGCAGGGATTATAAACAATTTACAACCATTATCGGTAAGGTCAATTTATGGTTCGCGCTTATGCGGGAAGGTGGCTGTACAAAATCTGATGGCAGGGGTCAAGCGTAAGGCCCGGCAATTCGGATTTGGAAAAGCGGAAGCCTAACTGAATATTTTTCCTGAATTTTATACTAATTGAACTTGAAAAAGAAATTCAATTTGATTTTTTAAATAAACGATTTCACCGATTTACACGCGTTTTCCCTTGACCAAATTTTGACCGTATCACCCTTTAAGACATATGACCCAGTGAGTATTGACACCTCACACTGTTGTGAATGAGCACGGACGCGAGATTTACTACACGGTAACCGCAAAATACCCAATAATGACTACAAAGTAAGCATTTTTGAGGGAAACTGGGACTACCCATTAAATGAGTAAAATTTTACCCATTTATGAGTAATTACAACTACAAAAATAAGTAGAAAGTATTCATTTTTGAGTAACAAATACTCATAAATGGGTAATATGTTTACTCATTTAATGGGTAGTCCCAGTCTCCCTCGAAAATGCTTACTTTGTAGTCATTATTGGGTATTTTACGGTTACCGTGTAGAGTATTAAATGCAAAACGCAAATTCAAAATAAAACTTGACAAGTCATCGTCAATCCCCTCATTCTTGGGCAGGGTCTGACGATGTGAATCTGATTTTGATCAGTGAACGGGCCCCATATGGTACATTTTCTCACTATGAACATGTCATTTCCAGCCTATCTGAACTATTTAATAAATGAAAACCATAACATGGGTTACGCTTCCCCTAAGCGGGCCCTCCGCATCCTATCTCTGTCTTATCTCAAATGCCAATGGTTTGAATGTATCAATATACTGCCGGTAATCGCAAGTCAGTCCCATCTGTAAAATAGCGAAAATGAGAAAACAGCGCGCAAAGATTTTACATGTTTTCTCGTTTTACGCTTATTTCGGATGGATAACTTTGACAACTAACGAGCTTTCTTATAGAATCCATCTATATTTAATCAAACACATTGAAAAAAAGCAAA